CGGCCGGTTGCGGTTTCCCTGGCAGACCCCTCTGGGGGTCCTGTCCTGTCTCGCTTCTCCACAGTCCTCCCGTGTCCGGCGGCTCCCTCTGGCACCCTGTCTGGCCTCTACCTCCCCTCGTTCTCTACGAACTTGGTGAATGGTGCTTACCTACAGGATGCGGGAGTCCACCAGTTCACCCCTGCTCGTCAGCGAGTGACGCACTGCACAGAGGCTAGCACGGGTCATCACCTGGCTACGTTTACACGTCAGCCAGGGTCGAGCCTGTACACACTGACCACTCCTTCTCCTCCAGGTACTGAGTCTGGGAGAGTCCCTTCGTCTGGTCAGGTGTTTGCTGCAGCGTCCAGGTCTGGTCCTGAGTCTGCCCCCTGTTCGTGTCGCCGTCTGTCTCACGAGACCCTCCTCTGGCACCACCGCCTTGGCCACCCCTCTCTGCTTCGGCTCAGAGGCATGGCCTCCCGACTTCTTCTGTCTGGTCTCCCCCGGTCCCTCCCTCCCCTTCCTCAGGGCCCTGGCCCTGCCTGTGTCCCCTGTGTCGAGGGGCGCCAGCGTGCTGCCCCTCACTCCTCCCAGTTTCCTCCGACAGAGGCTCAGTTGCAGACGCTTCACATGGACGTGTGGGGCCCTGCCCGCGTCCGTGGACTCGGTCACGAGCGCTACTTCCTGTTGGTGGTTGACGACTAGTCGCGTTACACCACAGTCTTCCCCTTGCGAAGCAAGGGTGATGTCACTGAGGTGCTGATCGACTGGATCCGCGCAGCTCGTCTCCAGCTCAGGCAGAGCTTTGGCTCGGACTTTCCTGTGTTGCGTCTGCACTTGGACAGAGGCGGAGAGTTCTCCTCTGGCCTTCTGCGTGCCTTCTGTCGTGCGCGAGGCATCCGCCAGACCTTCACGCTTCCGGACTCACCGCAGCAAAATGGGATTGCAGAGCGCCGCATTGGCATGGTCATGGACGTCGCTCGTACGTCTATGATGCATGCGGCTGCCCCCCATTTTCTGTGGCCGTTTGCAGTCAGGTACGCAGCGCATCAGATCAACCTCCACCCCAGGGTCTCTAGGCCGGAGACCTCCCCAGCCCTGCTGTGGACGGGGAAGGTTGGCGATGCGTCGGCGTTCCGGGTCTGGGGATCTCGGGCGTTTGTCCGCGACTTGTCTGCGGACAAGTTGTCCCCTTGCGCTGCTCCCTGCGTCTTCCTGGGGTTCCCCCCCGACGCCCCTGGGTGGCAGTTCCAGTGTCTGGCCGCCGCTTGACCTCATCTCGCGTCTGTACTGCTAGCCCCTGAGGGAGACCCGGATGCACTTGACATCCCGACTCCGCGCTCTTACGCGGAGGCGATAGAGGGTCCCTACTCCTCTCAGTGGCAGGCAGCTATGGACGCAGAGATGGTTTCCTGGAAGTCCACAGGCACCTACGTTGACGCTGTTCCCCCTCCTGGGGCGAACATAGTCAGTGGCATGTGGATCTTCAGGGTGAAGCGGCCGCCGGGTTCTCCGCCTGTCTTCAAGGCGCGTTACGTGGCTCGTGGCTTCAGTCAGCGGCAGGGAGTTGACTACTTTCAGACCTTCTCCCCCACCCCGAAGATGACCACTCTTCGGGTACTGCTGCACGTTGTTGCTCACCGTGACTACGAGCTGCACTCCCTCGACTTCAGCACTGCTTTCTTGCAGGGCAGCCTACACGAGGAGATCTGGCTGCGTCGCCCACCTGGCTTCACTGGGTCTTTCCCTCCTGGTACCCAGTGGAGTCTCCGGCGTCCAGTCTACGGTCTCCGCCAGGCGCCACGTGAGTGGCACGACACACTGAGGACTACGCTTGCGGCTCTTGGGTTTGCTCCTTCTACAGCCGACCCTTCGCTGTTTCTGCGCACCGACACCTCTCTGCCGCCCTTCTACATCCTCGTGTACGTCGACGACTTGGTCTTTGCCACTGCTGACACTGCTGGACTCGCCCACGTGAAGTCCGAGCTGCAGAAGAGACACACGTGCACAGACCTGGGTGAACTGCGCAGCTACCTTGGCTTGCAGATCACTCGGGACAGAGCACATCGCACCATTACCCTGACTCAGTCACACATGGTGCAGCAGGTCCTTCAGCGCTTCGGCTTCACGTACTCCTCGCCTCAGGCCACTCCTCTGCCTACTCGCCACTCGCTCTCAGCTCTGCCTTCGGATGAGTCCGTAGAGTCGAGTGGCCCGTATGCAGAGCTTGTTGGCTGCCTCATGTACCTGATGACCTGCACTCGACCTGACCTTGCATACCCTCTTAGCATTCTCGCACGCTATGTTGCTCCTGGGAGACACCGACCAGAGCACATGGCTGCAGCGAAAAGGGTGTTGCGCTACTTGTGCAGTACGTCGGGCATGGGGCTAGTGCTTGGAGGGTGCAGTCCAGTGGTCCTCACTGGGCACGCGGACGCTTCTTGGGCTGACGACCAGGCTACGCAGCGGTCGTCACAGGGTTACACCTTCAGCCTTGGTTCCGGCTCTGTTTCGTGGCGGGCTACCCGCTCGTCTTCTGTTCTCGGCTCCAGTTGTGAGGCTGAGATCTACGCCGGGGCTATGGCTGCACAGGAGCTACGCTGGCTCACCTACCTGCTGACCGACCTTGGAGAGCCGCCTCGTTCTCCTCCAGTCCTGTACGTAGACAACAAGGCCATGCTGGCCTTGTGTCGAGAGCAGCGACTGGAGCACAGGACAAAGCACATTGCTCTCCGCTACTTTCTTGCTCGTGAGCTACAGCAGCGTGGACAGTTGCGACTTGCGTACGTGGCCTCTGAGGCCAACACTGCTGATGTCTTCACCAAGGCACTTGCGCCTTGTGATCATCAGCGCTGTTGCACGCAGCTGGGTCTTGTGCCTGTCTTGCCTCACTTGCTCACTTCTTGACCTTGGTTGTACCTTCACCTATATATACTCTTGCTCTTGCTTGCTTGACTCTTCTATATCTCTATATATGATCTTGCTTGTGAACTGGCCTTCTGGCCCTTGAACTTGTGCTCGGAATGTGTGGTGACTTTGTGATCCACCCTGAGCTTTGCTTTGCTTTTACTTGACTGGTCTTGTGACCCCTTGTTCTCCCCCACTTTGCCTATGGGGGTGTGTCAGAACATTATAGCTTACTTATTTGTGTAGGCTATAGTGGGGTATCCCATAGGGGGTACAACCCAATTATGGTTTCCTATTTGTACTCACTTCGTTCATAGTCATTCCATTCTCGTTCAAATCTTCTCACGCTTCGAGAACTCGCCGGGATTCTCTGGGCACTGTCGACCTTTAGCTGCGAGATCCAACGCTCGCACGTCCTACTTCGAAGCGAGAGTCAAGCGGCCTACTATATTCTAAAAAAGGGCGGTTCTCGCCAAGCCAACCTCACTCTCATCTGCCGCGCCATTATCACACTTTGTGTGCATCACAAGATTCGATTAATGGCGCAATGGATCCCCCGCGAACTCAATACCGAAGCCGACGCCCTTTCAAAGATTGACCTACACGACGATTACTCTCTCGCACGGACGTGGTTCCTTTTACTCGAGCGCCACTGGGGCCCACATTCACTCGACCTATTTTCCTCGTCCTCCAACGCACAATTACGTCGGTTTTGCTCCCTAGACTATCATCCGCATGCGGTCGCCCAAGACGCGTTCTCTCTTAGTTGGAACGGTGAAAATTGCTACGCCTTCCCACCGCCGTCCTTGATCCCTGCCGTCCTCGCCCACGCGCGTCGATCTCGTACTACAATAACTCTCGTTATCCCGGAATGGCCTAGCGCCTTCTGGTGGCCACTACTTTGCCCAGACGGCACTACGTGGGCGCATGATATACGGGCGAGCATATATCTCGCTCACGGTCCAACATGTCTACGTGTTGGTAGTGATACGCTGGCCTTTAGTGGTGCCGGTATCCCCCATTCGCATATGTATGCTCTTCGTTTGATATATACTAATCCATAGCCTTGTAAACATGCAGGTTCATATATTGGACGTTTGATGGGGGACCTCTTAACGCTTACTGTCGATTTGCGCGCCCAATCCACGATCCGCACATACGAACCCTACTGGCGACAGTATCGCACATTCTGTCAAGAGCATTCGTTGTCGTTTCTTCCTGCCACGGACCTAACATCCGCGCTATTCTTACTGCACTCAGTACGCAGGGGTGCCACGGTCTCCGCCGTGCGATCTGCCTGCTCTGCAATTTCTTGCGCCCACTGGTTGGTCGGCTGCCCATCTCCTATTCGAGGACCGCTCTCCTCACAAGTAAAGGAGTACGCGAAGCGACACTGCGGCAAACCTTCCGTGCCAAAGGAACCTATACCCCCTGCTAAGATTTATGACATTTGCGATATCTACTTCTCGTCGACGGATCCTGCCATCTTCCAGCGCGGTCTCATCCCTCTTCTTATGTTTGCAGCTTTCCTGCGCTTCTCCGACCTCGTTGCCCTTCAATGGCACCAAATCGAGTTCGACCGCGACTGCATGTGGCTGTTCATCCCCCGCTCAAAAACGGACCAGGCCGGCACAGGCGCCTGGGTCCCAGTCGCCGCCTCTTCTGCCCGCCACTGCCCTGTCACTCGCGTACGGCAATTTCTCTTCCTCGCTGGCTTCTCTGCGCAAACCTTAGGCCCCCTTATTTGGGTGTTCCCGCCTGCTGCACGGGCTTTGCCATCCGATCGATCCCCATCCTATGCCACGGTCCGAGGCTGGTGTCGCGAGGCATTTTGTCGTGTTGGCCTCACCCCGAATCTGCTCGGCACGCATTCCTTTCGCAAGTCTGCCGCCACCGTGGCTGTCGATGTTGGCGTGCCTGATCGCCTCTTCAAGGCCCTCGGCCGGTGGCGTAGCGACAAGGCCCGGGAGTTGTACGTCACCCAGTTGGACCGCGAGTTGGTGACGGCATCGCGTACCCTTCAGGATCCGACGAGACCTAGCTCTACCTACCGTTACGCATCCACTCTCGCACGCCATTGTCATCCTCCGCCTATTTGATGTCTCGTTTACCTATGACGTCTGCACTGCACACTCCTCGGAGAGTCCTGTCACAATATGTAAAATTTTTAAAGTTAAACTTCTAAAAATTTGAAGATTGTGATTCGACTAGAAGAGGAGTTTGCTGTAAAGGAGACAAACTCCTTTTCATTCCCGCAGGTCTCTCAGACCTGCCACCTAGACTCATTTGCATTTTCAGATCTCCAATTTGCTTCCCTCCCACCCAATCCCCTTTTTTGTAGCAACATAGAGTTTATGATACCCTATTTGAATACTCATTGTTATTGCTCATTTGAGTGTGCTGTACAAATGGGATTTGTAATGCTATGACGACTGACAACTGCACTGCACACTCCTCGGAGAGTCGTGTCACAATCTGGCCCGACTGCCGCGTCTCTCCATAGAAAGCCGACGTTGCGTGAGTGCAGCATCTGTGAATGCCCTTTGTTGCCACAGCCAGCCACTAGAAGGGTACCTGTGAGGAGAGAGAGGGGGGAGGGAGAAGAGGGGGAGGGAGAGAAGGGGGAGGGAGAAGAGGTGGAGGGAGAGGAGGGGAAGCGAGAGGAGGGGGAGGGAGAGGAGGGGAGCGAGAGGAGGGGGAGGGAGAGGATGGGGAGGGAGAGGAGGGGGAGCGAGAGGAGGGGAAGCGGGAGGAGGGGGAGGGAGAGGAGGGGGAGGGAGAGGAGGGGAAGCGAGAGGAGGGGGAGGGAGAGGAGGAGGAGGGAGAGGAGGGGGAGGGAGGGGATTCTGAAGAGGAAGATTGGGAGGAGGAAGGCGATATGGAGGAGGAATGGGAAGAGTGGGGCGTAGAGACATGGGGGTGGGGGAAAGATGATAGTGGTGGTGATGATGATGAGATGGGCAGTGACTATGATGATGGAGGCTGGGGGGATACTAAAGTAGTGATGATGCGTAGGGTGCATAGGTGGTGAAATTGGTGCCGCGTGCTCGAAGTTTGGAACTGGAAAAGCATGTGCTTAGAATAGGATGTTCTGTAAGTCTATGGGGAGGGAGGTGATGCAATGTGCGAAGTAGACAGGCAGCGCTCCTTGGCAGATATGTTCACTGCACTCGTCTTTGTGGGTGACTCTTGTTTGCTTGTTATTCTGGGTTGCGGAACAACCTACCGTATTCTCTCGGACATAACACCCTAGGGTAGATCTAAAAATACAGGGAAAAAAATGGGGGTGTCTTCTCATAGGAAAAAGCTACATAATACCTGGGTGCATATAGATGGTATATTTTAGTGTTAGTTTTTTTTTATTAGAGAAGTTGAGTGTTACCATGGGCTTTTAAACATCACATGTTAAAGCACGAATGCCACTTTCGACGCGAACGTCATCAACCCCTCGAAAATTGTTGAACAAGAATGAATGAACTAGCAGTGAAATGACTACAAGTAGGAAACCCTAGAAATGTGTACCCCCTATAGGCTAATCCACTGTAGCCTAAACAACTAAAACATATATATAATGTTTGACACACCCCCATAGGCGAAGTGGGGGAGAACTAGGGGTCACAAGATCAGTCAAGTAAAGCAAAGCAAAGCAAGCTCAGGGTGGATCACAAAGTCACCACACATTCCGAGCACAAGTTCAAGGCCACAAGGCCAGTTCACATGCAGGAGTACACATATATATATAAGCCTAGACAAGCAAGAGCAGCAATATATATGTAGCAGTACAAAGAGGGTCAAGAGGAGAGCAAGTGATGATCACAAGGCGGAAGCGTCTTGGTGAAGACATCAGCAGTGTTGGCCTCAGAGGCCACGTACGCAAGTCGCAACTGACCACGCTGCTGAAGCTCACGAGCAAGGAAGTAACGGAGAGCAATGTGCTTTGTTCTGTGCTCCAGTCTCTACTCTCGACACAAGACCAGCATGGCCTTGTTGTCTACGTACAGGACTGGAGGAGAACGAGGCGGCTCTCCAAGGTCGGTCAGCAGGTAGGTGAGCCAGCGAAGCTCCTGAGCAGCCATGGCCCCTGCGTAGATCTCAGCCTCACAACTGGAGCCGAGAACAGAAGACGAGCGAGTAGCCCGCCACGAAACAGAGCCGGGACCAAGGCTGAAGGTGTAACCCTGTGACGACCGCTGCGTAGCCTGGTCGTCAGCCCAAGAAGCGTCTGCGTGTCCAGTGAGGACCACTGGACTCCGCCCTCCAAGCACTAGCCCCATGACCGACGTACTGCACAAGTAGCGCAACACCCTCTTTGCTGTAGCCATGTGCTCTGGTCGGTGTCTCCCAGGAGCAACATAGCGTGCAAGAATGCTAAGAGGGTATGCAAGGTCAGGTCGTGTGCAGGTCATCAGGTACATGAGGCAGCCAACAAGCTCTGGCTACGGGCCACTCGACTCTACGGACTCATCCGAAGGCAGAGCTGAGAGCGAGTGGCGAGTAGACAGAGGAGTGGCCTGAGGCGAGGAGTACGTGAAGCCGAAGCGCTGAAGGACCTGCTGCACCATGTGTGACTGAGTCAGGGTGATGGTGCGGCGTGCTCTGTCCCGGGTGATCTGCAAGCCAAGGTAGCTGCGCAGTTCACCCAGGTCTGTGCACGTGTGTCTCTTCTGCAGCTCGGACTTCACGTGGGCGAGTCCAGCAGTGTCAGTTGTGGCAAAGACCAAGTCGTCAACGTACACGAGGATGTAGAACGGCGGCAGAGAGGTGTCGGTGCGTAGAAACAGCGACGGGTCAACAGTGGAGGGGGCAAACCCAAGAGCCGCAATTGTAGTCCTCAGTGTGTCGTGCCACTCACGCGGTGCCTGGCGGAGACCGTAGACTGGCCGCCGAAGGCTCCACTGGGTGCCAGGAGGAAAAGACCCAGTGAAGCCAGGAGGGCGGCGCAGCCAGATCTCCTCGTGCAGGCTGCCCTGCAGGAACGCAGTGCTGAAGTCAAGGGAGTGTGGCTCGTAGACACGGTGAGCAGCGACGTGCAGCAGTACCCAAAGAGTGGTCATCTTTGGGGTGGGAGAGAGGGTCTGAAAGTAGTCAACTCCCTGCCGCTGACTGAAGCCACGAGCCACGTAGCGCGCCTTGAAGACAGGCGGAGAACTCGGCGGCCGCTTCACCCTGAAAATCCACATGCCACTGACGATGTTCGCCCCATGAGGGGGGACAGCGTCAACGTAGGTGGTTGTGGACTTCCAGGAAGCCATCTGTGCATCCATAGCTGCCTGCCACTAAGAGGAGTAGGGACCCTCTATCGCCTCCGCGTAAGAGTGCGGAGTCGGGATGTCAAGTGCATCCGGGTCTCCCTCAGGGGTAAGCAGTACGGACACGAGATGAGGTGAAGCAGCGGCGAAGCACTGAAACTCCTCCTGCCTGTCCTCAAGGACGTCCGTGCCAAGGGCACACTCACCCCCGACGGACGGAGGACAGACAGACTCAGACTCAGCGACAAGACTAGCAGCGTAGTCTAGACGACAGCGAGCAGCAAAGTCGACAAGCTCAGCAACTAGGGCAGACGCATCAGTGGACTCAAAGGAATTGTCAGTGACGACAGTAGCAAGGAGACGCGTGACAGTAGGACTGGCAGCACGAAGAGAGTCCAACTCCGGGTCGGCAAGAGCAGGAAGAGAAGACGCAGGAGGAGTAGGTAAAGAGGCGCGCAGAGGAGCAGTGGACGGACAAAGAGACATCCGGTGCGTGCGAGGAACAGGAGGAGGACGCTGACGCGAACCACGACCACTAGCGCTAGCAGGACGGACAGGCGACGCAGGGCGAGACGCAGGCTCACGACGCTCAGTAAGGCCTCCAGTAGGGCCAGCGTAGGGAGAAGGAGCAGGTAGTGGGGAGGCCGGGTGTAACTGTAACTGTGACGGGACAGGCTGTGGACACGCTAAGGGAGGAGGACTAGGAGGAGGCGAGAGACCAAGAACCTGCTGAAGGAGCGGTACGAAGTACGACCGAGGCCGCGCGGCGACTCCAGAGACAGCAGGGACAGCACCAGCACCACCAGCGGCAGCACCAGTACCAGCAGCAGCTCCAACGCCCGACTCCACAGCACCAGCACCCGGGTCCGCAGCACCAGCAGCAGCTCCAACGCCCAGGTCCGCAGTACCAGTAGCAGCTCCAACGCCCGGGTCCTCAGCACCAGCCGCAGCACCAGCGCCCGGGTCCGCTGTACCAGTAGCAGCTCCAACGCCCGGGTCCTCAGCACCAGCATGAGGAAAACTGAACAAGAATGGATGAACTATGAAATGAAGTGAGTACAAATATGAAACCCTACTTGGGTTGTACCCCCTATGGGATACCCCACTATAGCCTACAGAAATGAGTAAGCTATAATGTTCTGACACACCCCCATAGGCAAAGTGGGGGAGAACAAGGGGTCACAAGACCAGTCAAGCAAAGCAAAGCAAAGCTCAGGGTGGATCACAAAGTCACCACACATTCCGAGCACAAGTTCAAGGGCCACAAGGCCAGTTCACATGCAAGATCATATATAAAGATATACACGAGTCAAGCAAGCAAGAGCAAGAGTATATATAGGTGAAGGTACAAGCAAAGTCAAGAAGTGAGCAAGTGAGGCAAGACAGGCACAAGACCCAGCTGCGTGCAACAACGCTGATGATCACAAGGCGCAAGTGCCTTGGTGAAGACATCAGCAGTGTTGGCCTCAGAGGCCACGTACGCAAGTCGCAACTGTCCACGCTGCTGTAGCTCACGAGCAAGAAAGTAGCGGAGAGCAATGTGCTTTGTCCTGTGCTCCAGTCGCTGCTCTCGACACAAGGCCAGCATGGCCTTGTTGTCTACGTACAGAACTGGAGGAGAACGAGGCGGCTCTCCAAGGTCGGTCAGCAGGTAGGTGAGCCAGCGTAACTCCTGTGCAGCCATAGCCCCAGCGTAGATCTCAGCCTCACAACTGGAGCCGAGAACAGAAGACGAGCGGATAGCCCGCCACGAAACAGAGCCGGAACCAAGGCTGAAGGTGTAACCCTGTGACGACCGCTGCGTAGCCTGGTCGTCAGCCCAAGAAGCGTCCGCGTGCCCAGTGAGGACCACTGGACTGCGCCCTCCAAGCACTAGCCCCATGCCCGACGTACTGCACAAGTAGCGCAACACCCTCTTCGCTGCAGCCATGTGCTCTGGTCGGTGTCTCCCAGGAGCAACATAGCGTGCAAGAATGCTAAGAGGGTATGCAAGGTCAGGTCGTGTGCAGGTCATCAGGTACATGAGGCAGCCAACAAGCTCTGCATAAGGGCCACTCGACTCTACGGACTCATCCGAAGGCAGATCTGAGAGCGAGTGGCGAGTAGACAGAGGAGTGGCCTGAGGCGAGGAGTACGTGAAGCCGAAGCGCTGAAGGACCTGCTGCACCATGTGTGACTGAGTCAGGGTAATGGTGCGGCGTGCTCTGTCCCGGGTGATCTGCAAGCCAAGGTAGCTGCGCAGTTCACCCAGGTCTGTGCACGTGTGTCTCTTCTGCAGCTCGGACTTCACGTAGGCGAGTCGAGCAGTGTCAGCTGTGGCAAAGACCAAGTCGTCGACGTACACGAGGATGTAGAACGGCGGCAGAGAGGTGTCGGTGCGTAGAAACAGCGACGGGTCGGCAGTAGAAGGAGCAAACCCAAGTGCCGCCAGCGTAGTCCTCAGTGTGTCGTGCCACTCACGTGGCGCCTGGCGGAGACCGTAGACTGGACGCCGGAGACTCCACTGGGTACCAGGAGGGAAAGACCCAGTGAAGCCAGATGGGCGACGCAGCCAGATCTCCTCGTGCAGGCTGCCCTGCAAGAAAGCTGTGCTGAAGTCGAGAGAGTGCAGCTCGTAGTCACGGTGAGCAGCAACGTGCAGCAGTACCCGAAGAGTGGTCATCTTC